TCTCTCTTCTCTCTCTTCTCTCTCTTCTCTCTCTTCTCTCTCTTCTCTCTCTTCTCTCTCTCTCTCTCTCTTCTCTCTCTTCTCTCTCTTCTCTCTCTCTCTCTCTCTTCTCCTCTCTTCTCTCTCTCTCTCTCTTCTCTCTCAAAACTCACTGCTTTCGCGTTCAGTATTTGACCGGTGTGATGGTGCTCGCATCATGGCTCTTGATGGTGGTTGTGGCTGGTGTGGGCGCTGGTGCTGGCGCTGGGATGGCTGAGGGGGAGGCGGGGTGGTTGGCGTGTCGACCGGTGGTACTGGATGATGCAGACGTTGTGTTGGCGCATACGGTGTTGGTGGCACCCGAGGCTCAGCGGGCTCGCCTGCGAGCGTGGCATGCCAACGTGAGTTCTCCTGGCCATCCACAATTTGGCCAGCTTCCCGGGGGCCCCAACGGACTTGGTCGCACCGATGATGTCTGGGACCTGCTGCATCCAGGCTCTGCCGTGGTGAACCATGTTCATTCACAGCTTCAGCGACTACATCAACTCACTCGGACCAATGCCACGACAGACCAACAGCTCGCCGTTGATTGGCATCCCTTGGGTAATCGCTTGCGTGCCAGCTGGACTGGCCACCAACTGGCCCAACTCAATGAGTCATTGCTCAGCTGCCCCACCAGCGACCCCAACAAACCGATGCGCCTGATTTTTGCCCAGGATCAACTCCCACCACACGTGCGCGGCCTTGATCCTTCCCAAACACCCACCTACACCCACCTCCTGGTCCTCCACGCCGGTGGGTCAACGGCTGCGCGCTTTTCCGAACGCGGGCGTCCAATTCCCCGTGCATGAGGCTAATGAGCCAGAGCAGAGTCTCACTAATACCCCCACCTTGCCTCCGCCCATGCCTCCCTCTCCCCTTTTAGATGGGCACCAGTCCCCGCCTCTATCCCCGTCCGCCCCCAACACAGCCACCACTCAACGAGCCAGGCCCGCGCGTCCGCAGCGCCAACGCGCTCGGCCCCAGCAGCGTCGGGACGTCGATGATGGAAGCGATTACCCCTTGCCTGTCTGGCCACCGGGACCCCAGCTAATCATGCTCAACATGGACCCGACCTCGGCAACCTTTGGCTTCGTTCTCAACGAGGTGCAGCCCAACACTACTTTTATCCCTGAACCCGTCTTTGATTTGCCGGGCTTCAACACCGAACCAGATTGGATCGCGCCGGCCAACGTCCTCAGTGCCCAGGTTCGGGTACAATGCCGCCATGCGCAACCCTTTGTGCTGCAAGAGAGTAACATCCAGAGCCACAAAGGCACAGTCCAGCGCGTCCGTTTTACAAACGTGACCGTTACGGGCGGCGTTTACCTGCAACGAGCAAACATTTCCTTTGTTGAAAGCGCTTTGCTGTGCTGGCGCAACCCGCTTTGCCTTGGCTTCAACCTCACGACCTGCGCTGATTCAGAAGCCCGCACCAACTGCGTGGCGACGTTTGTGGACGACAGCGGTACCACAGACTACCCGATCAGCAACGGCAAGGTCACCTACCTCAGCAACACCACCGCAGCCATGGTCATCTTCACCATGCCCGCTGACACCCTCCAAGCCCACCAAGTTGATCCCGAGGCCCCCTGTGCCATGCAGCTCGAACTCACGACCGACCACAGTGACGAAATGCGCATGCTGGTCCAAAACATGTCGGGCCCTTTCTTCTCGGCTACCGGCGTGGGAGCTCGCCTGGAGCCCGTCGAACAGGTCTTCTTCGGGGGCCTCGATGCCGCCGCCTTGCGCGAGGCTTTTGAGGTTGACAGCCAGGCCGCCGCGTGCCACCGCCGCAATCGCGGAGGCGTTGCCGTGCTCTCTGCCTCTGAAATGTACAGCTACGACGGCCTCTACCGCTACCTGGCCGCCAATAACCTCCCGCTCAACGCCGTGCTGCGCACTCGCGACGTCACGCAGACCGATCTCAACCCCAGCTTCTCCTACCCATATGTCTTGGGTCTGCACAACGCCGCACCCAACGATTATCGAACGGCGGGTGACGAAACCATGCTCGACTTGGCCATGATGGCCGCCTTTGCGCCAGGTGCCTATCTGGACCAGATTGTGACGGGCATGGTCGATATCAACACCACAGTGGACCCCCTGCTTACAACGGCCGAGGTCTTTCTGGCTACCCTGGCCATGCAAGAGGACCTGCGTCCCACCGTCCTGTCAGCCTCCTACACGCTGACACTGGGTGACAATGCCGTCGTGCGCCATTACCTTGACAGTGTCGCTCAGGCCCTCGCCCTTGTGGGTGTCTCTGTCGTCCTCAGCTCGGGGGACGATGGCGTTTATATGGATGGCGATGCCTCTTCTCCGAACGACTATTGTGGCCAGCCCTCCGTCTCACCTCTCACAGCCTATGGCCTTGTCGTGGGTGGCGTGCAATACCTGCCAGAGTCGGGGGATGCTGTCGCGTGCTCCCTCGAAACTGGCTCGTCCATCACCTCCTCCGGCGGCTTTGACCAATTTGCGACCCGACCTGCTTATCAGGATGACCCCGTCTCGACCTATCTTGAAAAGGTCGCTCCGGTGGACCATATGCAAGCAAGCCTGGCTGGCAACCGCGCTTTCCCTGATGTTGCAGGCCCTGCGCACAACATTGAGGTTTACGGCCGTGAACACCGCACCCTCATGGCCGGCACGTCGGCCTCAGCGCCCATGCTTGCGGGATTGCTTGTTCTCGTCAATGACGTGCTGCTGCAACAAGACTTGCCCCCGCTGGGGGACGTCACCGCCTCGATATATGCGGTTGCGCGCGCTCACCCCGAGGTCTTCCAGGATGTGACACGGGGGTCCAACCGCTGCGGTAGCAGCGTGTGCTGCGAACATGGCTATCCAGCCAAGCCTGGTTGGGATGCTGTCACGGGCTTGGGGATGCCCCGCCTTCCGCTCCTGGCACGCTACCTTGTCGAGCAGCGCAATGGAACGTTTGATGCGAATACAATGGCCGCATGCTCGAGCTGTGCGGCCAGCGCTTGTGGCAACGCCGTTGACGCGTGGTGTGTGGATTTGGATGGGTCCGATTTTTCGACCGCCACTTGCATGTCGACCACGGGTGCTGGACTGTGCGCGTCCTTGCTTCCGAGCACTACTGCAAGCGACGTCAACAAGAGCGCTGCGCTCTGCACCCTCGATCAGGCAATCCAACTAGCAGCCCGCAACCGAACGTGCGCGTCGTGCGCGCCGGGCTACGTGGACGCGTGCTGCCTCCCTTGTCCTGGACCAGTGGATAACGTTTGCTTTGGTCGTGGCACCTGCGCGGTTGGTCAATGTCATTGCGACGCGGGCTATACAGGGCATGCCTGCGAAGATGCCAGCCCGTCCACCTCCTCTTCTTCCACGACCCCAATGAGCTCGGCCACGACTACGATGACCTCCTCCTCCACCTCCACGACGAGCACCAGTAGCACCTCTTCCACCCAGAAGAGCGAAACGCATCACTCCAAACACATTGGATCCCGCTCAAAGGGCATTGTTTTGGGCGTTTTATTCGGGGGGGTCGCGTTGGGGGCGCTGGTGAGCTGGTTGGTGACATCGCGACGCAAGACGAAGCAAATCTCCCGAGCCGGTGCACTTTATGATGTCCTTTTGAGTGAGGACTTGGAACAAGACGATGCGGACACTGGGGCTTATGTCCCACCCCAAGATCCGAACCTGGACTTTTCAGAGTAGAAGTCAAAGGAGTCAGTGTTACACGCACATTTTTGACACGAAAAAGCGCACATGCTGCCGCCCTGGCGTCCCCGGTACGACCTCGACGATGATAATAGACTGTGAATTTCATGTGAGAGACCTATTCCAGTGAAGATGTGGTTTTGCACGTACAAAAGCACGTGCAATTAAAAAACGACTCTTGTGTTTGAATTGGGGGAGCTGGTTTTGACAGCAAAAGACGTCAAGACAACAAGTGATAAAGGACAGAAATGTAACGACAGGCTGGCACGCTGGTGTGTTTAAGCAGACTTGAGGGCCAGGGAGAGCTTGACGCAGGCAACCTGGTTGCCAGAGCCATCCGTGATCTCGGCCGAGATGTCGTAATCGCCCTGGAAAAAAAACACCCCCAAGGCGTCCAAAAATGCAGAGTGAGTACAAGAACACACGCGACGTGCTTGTTTGTGTGGGTGGGTAGCTCGCGAAATGCTGGAGAGGGGTAGGGAGGGAGAGACGATAAGAGGGGTATGAGCGACCAACATACGTCAAGAATGCCCGGGAGGGACTCTGAGACGTGGAAGGTGCGCTCAGGCATAAAGGCCTAAGGAGAAGCATGGTACATGTTAGAAGAAGAAAGTCAATGCTGGAGGACGGTACAGGGCGGGCGGGCAGGAGCGCAAACAATGATGATGGAGTAGTGGCAGTCAGCGACGACGTACGGAGAAGGGAGTGAGCGGGCATCGGCAAGGAATGCCCATGGCGGGCATGGGGTCGGGGCAAGTGCCGTTCTTGAGGGGAATCTTTTCGAGGAAAGAGCACAGATCGTCATAGGTGCACGAGCCAAAGTTATCCACGCAGGGCACCTTGATGATGCCCTTTTTCATCTCGACGGTGGCCTTGAGTGGGGAGGACAGGTTGGACGCTGCAGGGCCATGACGCGTGTGCCCAGGTGAGCCGACTGGATATGAAACACGGAGAGCAGCGAGACAGAGAGCCACAGTTGGGTTTGGAAAAGTTGCATCCACTCACAAAGAACAATGCCGGCGTAGCCAGTAATGTTGCCGGGGAGCACGATGGGGTCGGGGCTCAGGCTCAGGTTGCCATGCATGGGGGCGGAGGGGGCGGCTGTCGACGGCAAAAGAGCAAAGAGGAAAACACACACACACACACACACACACACACACACACACACACACACACACACACACCGCCGAGATGGTTTAGGAATTCATCATGAGAGAAGCTGCATCGGACCATGCCAAAGGCGAGAAAGGCCGGCGGGGCACACGACGCGGGGGGGTCCAGCCATCCGCTGTTGCGCAACCATACCGCAGTCTTGGAAGGAAAAGCTGGTCAGGACGCGCGAGACGGGCTTTTGGTGCAGATGAACGGGCGCAGCCAGAGCCATGCCGAGGAAAACGGCAGCCAACGCCAAAGTCATTGTCTTGAGAGAAGCCATGCTTGCCGACTTGCTGAAAAACCTGCGAAACCCCGCGCACCGTAACACCCCCCAATGAGCCCCGGAGGCCACCGTGACAGCCGCGAGACACACACACACACACACACACACACACACACTGTTGACACACACACTGTTTGCGCACACAGACCTTTTGAAAAAAATGCTTGTTGTCACATTATTTTCCTCTCTCTTCTCTGCTGCTTATGGCTTTTTCTAACTTCTTCTAGTAGCACGTTAGCGTCGAGAAGGGCGACTCTCTCTCTCTCTCTCTCTTTCTCTCTCTCTCTCTCTCTCTCTCTCTCTCTCTCTCTCTCTCTCTCTCTCTTTTCTCTCTCTCTCTCTCTCTCTCTTTTCTCTATCTCTCTCTCTCTCGCTCTCTCTCTCTCTCTCTCTCTCTCGTGTGTTGCGTCAACGAGCTCCTTGCAATGTCGTCCTGCTGGCTGTTGCTTACTCCTCTCCATCTCTCCATCCTTATCCCTCTGTCACTACCTCTGTCTCTACCTGTCTCTCTACCTCTCTCGACCTGTCTCTCTACCTCTCTTTTTTTCTCTCGTACTTTTCCTTTGTGTCTTTGCTCTTTCTCAAACCGACCAAACCAATTCAAACTCTACCTCTCTCTCTCTCTACCTCTCTCTCTCTACCTCTCTCTACCTCTCCATCTCTCTCGCTATCTACCTCTACCTCTACCTCTCCCGGAAGATAGGTACTTGTACCGCAGGTCGGGGCAGGGTCTTGATGGGCTTTTTGGGCAGAAGAGAGCCAATTGGGGGGGTTTCATCAAGTCCAACTGTCACGCGGTAACACGAAGATCGGGTGACCCCTCCAGAAGCACACACACACACACAAACAGACAGACGGACGGCTCCAAAAGGAATGGAAACGCTCAACAAACACTTGGACCGGTACCGCCTCAAACCCATGCAAATGACGCTCGTCACCCCTGCTACCCACGCTCACTGCCCTGCTGCACGCCTTTGTCGTCGTCGTCATCGTCCGTCCGGCTGCCATTTCCATCTCATCTCCAAGCGTCCATAGTGGCATATGACGTAAAAGGACAAATGTTTTTGTTGATGTTTTTTCAAAGCGCTAAGGTCGATAAAAAGTAAAATACTATTACATGTTCTTGGAGCTATTTGGTAAAGTATAATACTAAAATAGGGGTCGTAAGCACAGGATCTTTCAGGGGGGTGGCTGTGTGATGGCATGCAGCTGAGGCCTGTGGTCTGATGTGGCGATGAGCTGGTGGCGCCAACCGCCAAAGACACAGCCAGGTGGATAATGGAGGGGCTTGCAAACGGCCAATACCAATCGTTGCATCGCGAAACGATGAAACAAAGACGTGCCTCTCTACCACGCGACTTGTAGTCAAAGGTCATGAAAAGTGAAGGCTGGAGTCAAGACTCGGCGGCCAACTGAAGGCGGGCAAGGCGAAGCTCCTCGGCAAGTTGCTCTTTGCTTCCCTCGTAGTCCATCAACGACTTGTGACAGGAGAGCAGCCGCTCCTTGGGCAGTGCGGGGTCGCAAGTCTTGGTGTGCCAACGGTGCAGGATGCGATCCGGTGCCCGCCACACATTTTGCTCCGGGTGCTTCAGAAAAGCATTGACCAGCGCCTTGTCTTCCTATCGCACAGCCATCAGAGTCGTCGATCAGGCCTGCGCAGCTTGTCAAGCACAGTTTGCACGGTTGCTGGGGGTCGTACGTCGCCCCAGCCCGTAATGGACGTATCCAATCCGCCCACCGTCTCGTAGGCCGTCACTACCCGCCAATATGAGTATGAGGGCTTGAACGCGTGTGAAATGACGGGCCTGGTGACGCGTTGGCTCGATTTGAGCTGCGCACCTCGTGTACAGACGAGACCGTAGCCACTGTGTCGAAATTTGCCGCTCGCGTCGTTGAGACGCAGGCCCTGAGCATGGCGGTAAGCGCTGCCACCGTTCCACACACAACACATGATCAGAGTCGAGCACGCCGTCTTACGCTTGAGACGACACGCCTGCTTGGCCCACTTGCGGCCAGAGCAACCAAACGCACCTAAAGGTGATGGGAAAATAGGTCAGGTTCAGGTCGGCCAGATGACGACACCGTGCCAGAGTGGCTTCCGTAAAGATGACTTCGACGTCGGTGAGAAAGACAATGGCCGAGCCTCGCTCGTGAGCGGGAATCAGGCCGACCCCGTGGTCTAGGACGGCGGCCCGTTGATATGGCCCAGGCAGTTGACTCCATCTATTGCGCAGAACAAAGCATCGACACACAAAGCCAACAGAGGGAGTGAGTAGGCTGGACTTGGTGCACACGAAAGGGTAGGGATGGCAGACATGCGACTCTGTTGCCTACAAATGTGTGAGGCCGAGCCGAAGAAGCAACTCTTTCGCTCTCTGCTCGGTGTCTGGGTCGGGCGTCGAGGTGACAAACACGATGATCCAGATTGCGTGCTGGGCTTTGGATCCCGTCGCAACAAACTCGAGGGTCTCGCGCAGGGCATCAAACCTGTGCAGAGAAGAATATTATGAGACATGTCAGTTGGAGTCTAGGGCAGGACTGTTCAAAAAGACTTGATGCACGCGCTGGAGCTGCAGCGTCAGACGCCCTCGGCAGTGGTGGCTCCCACAAGCCCAACTAGAAAAGATGCAAGCTCTGGAGCTGACATTGCGGGCGACAAAGAAGATCCACGAACCGTTCAGCCGTGAACGAGGTCACAACGTAGAGTGTGCGATGGGGGTCGATCCTGGTGGTACTCAGGTGCATGGGGCTGGGCGCGACAGGGGTGGAAGCAATGGCCAGGGGCCGGGTGACAGTGGTCACAAGCCAGGTACTTTGCCCTTGGTCGGTGCCATGAAGATACATGTGGTAAAGATAGCCCTGCCGCGGATCCAAGAGCATGTGACCCGTATCAAATGCAGCCTTGGTTGCCTGTGACAGCGGGTCGTGCCTGGGGCAATCAATTTGGAAGTTGGAATCGGATGCGGGTGAGCGCAAGCGGGGGTGACAGGGTTTGAGTTGAACCAGTTGAGAGAGAGGGAGAGGAAGCGACAATGCAGTTGACTAACAAAGCCAGGTGTATTAGCTCATGGAGCACGCCGTGGTCCTGATGCGACTGAGATGTCACCTACGGTTCGAAGCAAGGGGCCATCTAGCGTTGGTGGGGAGTGTGACAGGGAAGCGGAAGCGACAGTGGGGCAGAATACACCCGTGTGTACGAACCTGGAAGATGCGAAAGGATGAAAAGATGTTTTTGCCATCAAAAAGCTCGCCAACAAGCAAGTCTACATGGATCAAGGCAGTTGATGGGCTGATGCGGCTGAGTGATGCTCAACGATGAGAACGTAGGGGCGCACCTTTGAGAATTGTGGCCTTGTAGAGTGACATGGCAGGAGGACGGACTGCACGAGATCCCGTACTGGGCGGGATAGCAGTGACTCGAGCCAAAGTCACGGCTGGCGGCACGGGCTGCGCTGGTGGTGCTGTCGACAGCGGCGGAGGCAGGAAGAACGAATGCCAGAGGAACACATTGCCACCCAAGCTCAGAGCAAGAAGAACCCATGGCATCCACGCCGCCCCGCGCCGCCCCATCCGCGCCATGCCACTCAATACCACCACCCTGACATGCACGCCAAGCCCACCCTCTGTCGGCACCGAGTCAAGCCCACACGCGCCCGAGCCAGCAAACTAAGCCCCGCGGGCGGGTGGTGGCCTTGGACGGAACGGCGCTCGCATGCATGCAAGCTTGTCGCAGTTTTGGCTGACAAAAGGCATATTGTGTTTTCACTCCCTTCGCTTGCTGATACGTGAGCAAACCCTCTCTCTCTCTCTCTCTCTCGCTCTTAGCTCTCAAGCTCTCAAGCTCTCTCTCTCTCTCTTGATTCTCACGTCATTTTGCTGCATGTGTGTGTTTGGCAGCGCAACGCTCTCTCTGTCTCTCTCTCACTCTCTCTCTTCCCTCTCTCTCTCTCTCCTCTCTCCTCTCTCCTCTCTCCTCTCTCTCTCCTCTCTCCTCTCTCTCTCTCTCACTGTGCGAGTGACGTGGCGGCGGGGTCGGAGCGCCGCGCGATTGGACTGATCTTGTGTGCATTATTGCATCGGGCCCATAGGCGAGAGGCTGGTTGGAGGCATAGCACACTCGGTCCTCGTTGTCGCGTCGCGTCGTTCGGCCGCTGGCCGCGCTGCGAACCAACAAGCAAAAGCGGGATCAAAGAAGCCTCAAGGGACCTTGTTGTTGGCTCGACTCAAGCGCAGTGCGATCCATTCATCGCGCCCGGTGCCCCGGTCATCGGGATAAGCTGGCTGGGGCCCTCTGCGTCCGGCTCGGCTCATCCTTGGCGCTCCCGTCCGACGCTCTTAGCAGTTCACTGCTGGTGCACCCGACGCCATGGCGGCCGTAGATGTAGCAGACGCGCAGCCACAAGCCCTGGATGGCGTTGTGCTGAGCGTTCAGGGCATGACCTGCGGCTCATGCGTTGCCTCCATCCAACAGCGCTTCGCCGATGAGCCCCGCGTTCCTTACGTGGATGTGGACCTGGCCGAGGCACGCGCATACTTGGCCTTTGACCCGGCCTCGTGGAGCCCAGGCCGTTTGGCCGAAGCCGTTGAAGACCGAGGCTTTGATGCCAGCGTCCTCACACCCCACCTCTCCGCCACCCGCCTGTCCATCGAGCACATGACTTGCCAGTCTTGTGTGCGCTCCATCCAGGATCGGCTTGGCAGCCACGACCATGTTCACTACATCAAAGTCGACCTCGCCGGACGATCGGGCGTTGCCTTGCATGACCCCGAGCTTACCCCAACGGCCTTGGCTGACATGATTGACGACATGGGCTTTGAAGCTCGCCCCATCGCCTTTTCAGACCCTTTGGCCCTGCCCCAAACCGACCCTGCATCTGCAGAGTCCACCCCCGCCGCGACCACCGCCTGGGCCGAGCAACCGTCTCTCAAAAAATCCGACCTCAATACCCATCAGCCACAGCCTAGCGCTAGCATTCCAAATGATGCGCCCCTCGCCGCTGATTCGCACCGCCAGCTCTATCATGTCGGAGGTTAGCCCTCCGCGCCCCCAACCTTGGCTTGCCACACACCCCGCCCGAAATGAAAGAAAAAAACTTTTTTCTTAATCCCAACACCTCACACCTGTTTGCCCAGGCATGAGCTGCAGCAGCTGCGTGGCTTTGATCGAGGGGCGCCTCAAGCGCCTGCCCGGCGTTGAGGATGTCCTAGTCGGCCTGCTGGCCGAACAAGCAGAGGTCCGCTACGACCACCGCCTCATCGACAGCGAGAGTCTAAAAAAGGCCATTGTCGACCTCGGCTTCTCTGCCGAACCAATGGATACCAACGACGAGGGCACCATCACCCTCATGATCGAGGGCATGACGTGCGCCAGCTGTGTCAACTCCATCGAGGTCTGCCTCCGCCTACATCGCACATAATCCGTTGCCCAAATTCGCTCCGACCTGTCTTCAACCCCGACTCACGGCTCGTCAACCCGACCGTCTAACCCTCTTAGACCAAGGTTAGACAGCACCCAGGCGTAGAAGAGATCTCTGTGAGTCTCTTGACCAAAAAGGCCATCGTGCACTTTCAAGTTGGTGCCGTGGGCCCACGTGACATTGTGGAGTACGTCCGACTCGTCATGCCATTACACGAATGGTTTTTCTGTTTGCTTGCTTGTTTTGTTTTGTTTTTAAATCCCTCTCTTGAGGCAGCAGCCCACGCCTGCATAGTATAGGCCTGACTCTGCTTGCCTGCCCCTGATGCATCAAGGATGATTAATGACATGGGCTTCACCGCCAAGTTGCTGGACGACGAAGGCGATGCTCAAGTTTACGATCATTCGGAAACCATCGCTTACTGGCGAAACATCTTTGCGTTTGCTGTCCTGTGCTTCATTCCCATCCAAGTCATCAAACTCCTTCCTGACTCAAGCACGGTCACGCACCAATGCTTCACGGGCGTGTCCTACCGCAACCTCGTCCTTCTCATCATCTCGCTCGCCGTCGATTGCATCGTGGGCAAACCCTTCTTCATCTCGGGCTTTGCCAGTCTTCGCCACATGGCTCCGAACATGGATACTCTCATTCTCATCAGTGTTGGGTGAGTGCTTGCTGCCCATCGTTGAACGGAACGAGCCTGGGCAAAGCGCTCGTGTTGTGAATCTGTCGATTTTGCGCCTTCGTTTTGGTGGCTTGTTTGTTCATTTCTTTGTTTTTTGGCTTGAAAATCGTGTGCTGCTCTTGATTGCTTCCCTGACTGCCATCAAAAAGCCTAAGTGTCTGCTTCTCGAACTCGACGCTGCTTGCCAATATTTGACCAAAGCGGCCGATCCCCCATGTTGCCCCTCGCTCTTGCTTTGCAGATCGGCCTTTATCTACTCCCTGGTCGAGCTGATCAACAATATGATCGATCCCATGGCCGAAGACCCATCCTTGTTTTTTGAGACTGGTCCCATGCTCTTCACCTTTGTAGCGCTGGGCCGGTTTCTGGAACACATTGCCAAGGCCAAAACCTCGGACGCATTGCGTGACCTTCTCTCCCTCTCGGCTTCCTCTGCTCGCATCATTCGCACCAGCCAAGCTGGCCATACGGAGGAGGAGCGCGTCGAAATCAACCTCGTGCAACGCGATGACATTGTCAAGGTCTGTCGTCAGTGCTCATCTTCTCCTCCTTTGTTCCTTATTCTCGGCGTCTCTTTGACCTCCTAGACCTGTGTTGCACGTGCATTCAATTAGGTGGTGGCTGGGGAACAAATCCCTGCCGATGGCACGGTCGTCCTGGGTGGAGGCCAGGTGAACGAGGCCATGCTGACTGGCGAACCCTTGCTGTTGGTCAAGGAAGTGGGCGATTCGGTCATTGGAGGCACGGTTTTGGTCACAGATATGCTGCACTTTCGCGTCACCCATGCGGGCAAGGACGCGAGCTTGGCCAAGATTGTAGGCCTGGTCGAACAAGCTCAGCGCTCCAAGGCCCCCATCCAACGAATTGCTGGTTCGTGTTTGCCCACAGCCCTGCATGGGCACATTTGAATCATGCCCGCACGTGATCAAGGCTCATGTGGGTTTTGGCTTTGGTGTCCTTTTTTTGGCGGGGGGGCACGATGTGCTGACTCTTGCAGATACGATTGCCGGATACTTTGTGCCTGCCGTCGTAACCTTTGCCGTGCTTACGCTCGGCGTCTGGCTCATGCTCACCTCACATGACGTTGTTCAGTCCCCGGCCAACTTGGGTGACATTGGCTTTTCTTTCCGCTTCTGCATTGCCGTTTTGGTCGTGGCCTGTCCGTGTGCCTTGGGCCTGGCCACGCCCACGGCCGTCATGGTGGGCACCGGTGTGGGTGCCAAACTGGGCATTCTCATCAAGGGTGGTGAGCACTTGGAAACAGCTCAGCGAGTCACCACCGTGGTGTTTGACAAGACAGGCACGCTGACAACGGGCAAACTGAAGGTGGTTGACGTTGAATCCGTGGCTGCATCGGACAGCCCACCAGTGGACACCCAAGCCCTTCTGCGCTATGTTGCAGCTGTGGAACGCAACAGTGGGCACCCGACGGCCACGGCCATTGTGGAGCACGTGCACCTCAACGTGCCACGCTCGGACACTCAACTCGAGGTGACAGAGTACCGGATGGAGGCGGGGCAAGGTGTGGAGGGTGTTGTTGACGGCCATCACGTTGCTGTCGGCAACCGTCGCTGGATGCAAACCTCTCGGGTGCGAGTGGTCGAGGAAGTGGAGCATCTGGTCTCAGCCTTTTCATCTGAAGGCAAGACGACCGTCTTCGTGGCCTTGGATAGCAAAGTGGTGGGCTTGATCACGCTGGCCGACACGCCCAAGCCGGACGCCACAGAAACCGTGGAGCTGTTACGTAAGCTCAAAATCAAGGTCATGATGCTGACTGGCGATAATGAACGGACGGCACAAGCCATTGGCGAGCAGCTGGGTATTACCAACATTATTGCCCAGGTCCTGCCCTCGCACAAGTCGCGCGAGGTGGCGCGCTTGCAGGCCGAAGGCGAGGTGGTGGCCATGGTGGGGGACGGTATCAACGACGCACCGGCCCTGGCACAGGCTGATCTGGGCTTTGCTGTTGGCACCGGCATGGACGTGGCCATCGAGGCAGCGGATGTCGTGCTTATGCGCGATCACCTGACCGATGTTCCCGTGGCCATTGATCTGTCACGGGCAACGGTGCGCCGCATTCACACCAACTTTATCTGGGCCGTCTTGTATAACCTATTCAGTATTCCCATTGCGGCCGGCTGCCTCTTTCCCGTCGGTCTGATGCTCCGGCCTGTTTACGCGAGCATGGCCATGGCGCTCTCTTCGGTCTCCGTGGTCACTTCGTCGCTGTTGCTGCGGCGCTACAAGCCCCCAGGCTACGCCCGCCAGGATGGCTATCAGGGCGAAGTCATACCTTTGTGGAGGCAGATCTGGCAGGCCCTCACTGGTGGCTTGCACACAAACCGTGGCTACCAGCGCATGGAACAGAGCATGGACGACAGCATGGCCTAGTCAAAGTGCACTGTTGGCTTTCATCGTGAGCACGCTGGTTCAATAGTTTGGCCGTTCAAGTCTGACCCAACCGAGTAGCTGGCTACTCGCGTCTAGTTGGTGATGCCTTCCCGTCGTTACCCATTTCCCACCCCCAGAAAAAAATAAATACCGTGTCTGATGATGACTCCTGCTCCCTCCAGAGTGGCTTTAACCTCATCAATCGAACCACTGTTCTTTCCTCCTACAATCCACTTTTCCACCTCTCCGCCTCTCCCTCCGCCTCTCCACCTCTTGTGTCTGTGTGTGTTCTCCGCATCCGCCACCCTTGCCCAGATTTTTATCTGACATTTGACAGTTACGCGTGTGTGAGAGTGTGTGAGAGATTTTTTTTTTTTTTGCGGACGCCACACACACACACACTCAAACGCGCGCGCGACGGAGCCGCAAGCTCGCAGAGCAGGGCAGAGCAGACGATCCTCCGCGGTACTCGAACACAGCTTCGCCCTGGAGGAGGTAGAAGGTGTGCCGCCTGCGGCATAGAGGGTCCTGCAGGTATAATGAGGGTCGATCGAGATTGCCAAACTCGCCCCCCCCCCCCCCTTGAAGCTCACCTCTCACACTGCGGCATGCGAACATTGCTATTCTGCGGCAGAGCACGAATCAGGTCGTGGTCTGGCGTTAAGCGCCAAGCACACCAGGAGGGTTGCAGCTCCCACTCAACCACGGACATCAATCGGCCGGGCCGTTACACCCGATGCCATGGCCGACGCAGAGTACGTTGCTCCAGTCTCTCGAGGATGCGCACGCTCCGCTTTGTCACATGGCCCTGATGCACCGTGATGTGCCTTGTGCTATAGGAACATCGCAATCACCAAGGCCGAGGCCGCTTTGGGGCACAGTGAAACCGCAACAAAGCGGAATCCCGTCGTCTTGGAGGAAGATGGAGAGCCACCCCACAAGCGTGCCGCCCAAGGCTCGGGCGATGATGTTTCAAGTCAGCGCAAGCCACCACGATCCAAAACGGACGTCAAATTCCCTCTTTACCCCTCTTCTTCGAGCTTTAAACCAAACACCATTGCCCAGCCTCCCGCCAAGGAAACCTTGCCCCGCGCAGGCCCCTCAAATAGTAGTAGCAGTGCCGTAGCAGCTTCGCCTAGTGGCACACCGAGTCACTCCTTCAACTCCCTGTCAATTGGCCGCACCCCAATTCGACTATCGCCATCAGGTTTGTGCCAGATACAAATTGGCACCGCGGTCCCGTGAATAGACACATCTGATTCACAACGCCTGTGTATGCCCTGTCATAGTTGAGGACGCGCGTTACGCAGCTCTTTGCGGGCTTGATAACATGGGCAACACTTGCTATCTCAATTCAGTCCTTCAATGTCTAAGGTTTTTACCTCTCATGAGCGAATGCCTCAATTACACGTCGCTGCTCGACAAGGTTTGCATTGCCCCAACGCCCGCTGCTTTTCCCCAAAGCTGGTCTCCGTGACCTCCTCTCCGTGGCCAGTGCGAGTGTCACTGTGTACCGCACGACCTGAGCTTGCGTTGCCGTGGCATGCCCGCAAACAGGTCCCATTTTCGGTCGACAACCACCCGCTTCTTCTCAGGTGGCAGCTGGTAAGATTGCCAGGCTCGCCAACAGGCTCGCACATGTGCCATCTCTGGATGCATTCGGGTGGCTCACGGATCTGAAAACGGCAATTTCGGGTCTCATACACAGCTCATGGAGGATATGGCTGATGCCGAGAAAAGTCACCGCTTGCGAGCGGATCAGCTCTTTGCCACACGCACAATTTCTTTGGCACCAACCTCCTTCAAGCACGAACTCGGGTGTGCTCGACCGCTCCGTGCCTCCCCCCCCCCCCCCCCCCCAAAAAAAAA